TTCTGGACGATCCCAGGGAAGGGCTGACTCAGAGGGAGGGCAGTGGCGGCAGGGCTCATCTCCCATAGCCATCCTTCTTAAATCTTTTTATTACCTGATGCTTAATTACATATCTCCTTGATGTTTGCATTCCTCTCATTGTTTAGACGATGGGAAATGATAACGGAAACAAACCCCCGTTTGCTTTCAACCCTGGAATGCTGCGGGCAGGGTCTCTCTGCCAAGTTCGTCATCAAGAGGCTTCAGGTGCCCCTCACCTAAGAGCCGGGAATTGCTGCTGAGTCCAGTCTCCCTGCCAAAGGCAGAGAGGTAGAGTCACTGTCTAGAGATTTTAGAGCAAGGTGGTTTTATTGAGGGGAGGGTTGCCTTGGTTTGGAAATGGGAGAAGTGTTTCCCCAGTTAATACAGCTTTTAGAAGGAAGGCACCCTTGGACAGGGAGGGTACAGAAGGAGCAGGAAATGGAGAAGGGAGAGAAAGGTACCACTTGTTCAAATATCTATTGGGTACGGAGTGCCCGTAGGAGCTGAGTCGGTAGCAGAGGAGAGAGACAGGATTTACAGTGCCTCCCGGGGTTGTCCAAGACCCAACCCCTTCACATCCACTGATGAGCGTGGCTTCCTCAGAGCTGGCAGGTGTGAGCCAAGGGCCAGTCCCCCGATATGCTCAGAGGTTGAGCGCCCGTGTCCTGCTGCTGGTGAGGAATACGATGCATGCTTGCAGGGCTGGGTGCAGAGCCCCGCCCGTCCCTCCGGGAGCTTCCCAGCTCTCTCTGTGCTGTCCATGACGGGGCTGTTTCAGGGCTACTGGAAAATGTGGCTTCAAAACAGTGGCTAATTGAGTCAGGATTACTTACTGTGTGACTCAACTCCAGAAGGTATTCTCTGACTTCCAGAAACTGTTACCCAGGATCGTGCACAGATACCCTATTCACAGCTGCAAGGTGCTCCTTACTGACCACATTGAAATAATTCCTTAAGCATCCTTTCACTTACCTCCTTTTGATAAGACTTATCGTTAACTTACATGGGAAGAAAGTCTGTTTGGATATGCTTAATGCAACCTGTTCTCTCCCTCTAAATTATAAGTGATCTAGCTATTTATTCAGCGAAAACTGATGTGATGCCAGGCACCTAGTGTCTGTAGGAGCTGAATCTGCAGCAGAGGCTTTACCTGTGATCAAGCCAGGAAAGGACCCTGCCCTCAAGGAGATGATGTTGTAGACATGAGAGGCCTTTACAATCCAGTGTGGGAGGTTCTGCAGTGGGGTGAGCAGTCAGGGGACTGTGGTGTCTGGGAGGGTCAAGGAAGGTGACCTCTAAGCTTGAAGGACTTGAAGGGCAGCGGGAGCCGGCCAGGTGAAGGTGGGTAGAGGCAGGTGGGAGTGGGGTGAGGAGAGAGGCCTTCTGGGCAGGGAGAATAACATTGCAAAGGCCTGGAGGTGATCGAATCTCAAGTCTTTAAACTGGAAAATCATGTAAATCTTAGGTGTGCTTTACTCGGGGGTGCTATGAGAATTAGATTAAACACAATCTGGCTTGTTATTGCCCCCTCTTTGCTGCCTTCTGTGCAGAAGAACCCTCAGGCCCTTGGCTACCTCTCAGATGGATGCCTGAGAGTTAAGGGGTTTCAAGCCCTTTGAACAACAATGGTGTTGCCCCTCACGCCCCCACTCGAGGGATGGGGTAGATGTACATGTGGGTCTGCAGTGTTCTGGCTACTGCATTCTTGTGGCCCTCCCGGGGACCCTTATGCCTCTGCCAGGAGGTAGGCAGGAGGTCAAGGTCAAAGGCCAAAGGCTGAGTCCACTCTTGAACTCAAGAGTCCTCACTCATGAGTTCAGGACCTCAGTGTTGGGGTGGCCGAGTTTCTGGCAAATCCTTCACTTTCCGTATGGCCAGGGAGAATTGGCAGCCTCCATAACAAACCATCAGTGAAGTTTCTGGGATAGAAATGACCTTGAACTCATTGGTATGTAGTTCCTGACATTGTGCAATCTTAAATTCCAACAGTCATGAAGCAAATCGGTTTTGCATTTCAAGGCAGAGTTTTGCTGGAATTCGGAAAATGCTTCCTCACATGTCTCAATTTTCTTTTTCCTTCACTGGTGCTTTGAACTTTAAAAAAAAATTTATTTAATTTGTTTATTTTTGGCTGCGTCGGGTCTTCGTTGCTAAGCGCAGGCTTTCTGTAGTTGTGGCGAGCGGGGGCTACTCTTCATTGCGGTGCACGGGCTTCTCATTGTGGTGGCTTCTCTTGTTGCAGAGCAAGGGCTCTAGGCACGCCGGTTTTAGTAGCTGTAGCAAGAAGGCTCAGTAGTTGCGCACGGGCTTGGTTGCTCTGCGGCATGTGGGATCTTCCTGAACCAGGGATTGAACCCATGTCCCCTGCATTGGAGGGTGTATTATTTTTTTTTTTTTTTTTTTCTTTGCGATATGTGGGCCTCTCACCGCTGTGGCCTCTCCCGTCGCGGAGCACAGGCTCCGGACGCGCAGGCC